TATAAAAATTGTACCTTACACCGTCAATTTGATATATTGATTATTTAGTCATATTGATTGTCTCATAAAAATCATTATTGGCAACAATTTTTAAACGTATTCTCTTTTCCAATTTTTTAGTTACTATTTATGCTGCTGAATTTAAGAGGAAATATTTTTTCCTCCTGCAAATATTTTTGTCGCGTTCTCTTTTCTGATAAAAATTACGGGGTTCGTAAAAATATTTCTTCCAAAAATAAGTCGGCGTCGACGGACAAAATCAAACGCGAAAGCATCTCCGTGCGTACGGTCGATCTAAATTTTTAATTAAAACCGGCATGTGGTATTATCGCGTATCGTAAATAAAAAGGAAAGGAGAACGAAGAGAGACGCGTTACATCGGCAAAAAGATTTGTGGAAGACACACGACGATATCCGTTAACTTTGGTGCCCACTTTTCTTCCTTCCTTATTTCCATCCCTAATCCCTTCCTTCCTTACTCCTTTTCTTCCATTTTTCCTTCCTTCCTTCCTTCCTTCTTTCCTTATTTGAGAATCAACCAAAATACCGCAACGTCTCGCAGAATTTGGGCTGAACGAAGAAACGAAGAAAAAGCGACAAAACAAACAAAAAGTAATAACAATAAATAAAATAATCGAACTCTCAGGTCGGTAACGTAGCGATAGATAATACCGAAAATGGAAAATATTTCGAGCCAACAGCTGCGAGGATTAGAAATCCATTTTAAAAGGCAGGGAAACGTAAGCAAAAGTTAAGTGCTGCCGTTGTCGCGCCTTTCCTCGCTACGGACACAAAATTAGATTATATTTTCAAACGAGAGTTCGTTCTCATTTTTAACTGCAGTTACTTGTGATTTTACGACATTTATTGCGCCTTCACCTTGAAATTATAAATAATTGCCTCGCAACATTTGGTTGTGGTCGATATCGCGGGTAGGCGGCGGCTGCCTCGAAATTTCGTGCATTTGGCCAATAAGTTTAAGTATCCAAGTTACGGCCACATTATCACTTCGATACTTTTACGCCGGGAACAGGAAATGTTAAAGGGCTACTAACAACCTATTGCGTCCCTTATAAATACCTCCCTCTCGCATTATGGCGTAAATAACATCCCGATCGTAAGCTCGGCTATTGCATGGAATTACGCCGTTATCCCGAGATTATAATAAATAATCGAAGCGGCCTGCATTTTAAAACTCAACAGCGGTCAATAATAACGCGCAAGTGAGGAGCAGTTTATTATTAAAATAATGGATAATGCCAATTCTACGATCGATGTGGAATAATGGTCGGCCCTATCATCCAACCGACTATAATCCGCGCAATTATCTCAAAGCCGTGGAAAATTAGTTTGACCTTTAAGGCAAGAAACAAATACGTTGCGTCGCAGATAAAACGCACATCCTCGAGAGGCATAATAAGGCCAGAATTGGGGCCGAGCGAGCGAGCGCTCGCCATCGGGATATCGAAGGATGCGAGGATAAGAGCTTTGGCTATCGTCGGGCCGCCGAAGGAAGTTGTTAGGCTAATAAAGTTAAGCTTAACGGAAAGAGAGAAGGACGGGGGGATGGGGGGGGGGGCTCGGCCGCAGAGAAGAAGCGCGAGCCATTACTCACTCGGACATGAAGGCCTTGCTGCAGCTGACGTACTCGTTGACGTCACAGAGGGGCTGGTACTCCTTGTCCTTAACCTTATTGGTCTCGACGACGTAGGCGTAATAGCAGATCGCGACGCCCTGGAGGCAGAGCCAGAGGAGGACGGCATCGAGCCGTTGCATCGAGTATGTCGCCATGTTTGCCACTGGCGGACCGGATCGCCGTGCGCTCGGTCATGCACTGGCTCGACGTCCTTATCAGTCCTCGTCGACGCTCCGGGCCCCTCCGACCCCGGACTTCCCCTCGATCGGGAGAAAGTGCCGGCGCGCAGACTCGCGCGCGCTTCCCTCTCGTGGCCGTCGGCGCGCGCACGGCTCCCGCGCTTCTCCTCGAAACCACCGTGTCGTGACCTCAGCTCCCCCGTGGACTACGATTACCACGACGACGACGACGACGACGACGACGACGACGACGACGACGACGACAACGACGATAACCTTAGCCTCGGATCCAGGAACTTGTCGCGCCTTTAACCGAGACACCTTCCCAACCCTCCTCTCTCAGATTTTCAATTATCGAGCGCACCACGAGCCTACGCTGGGACGATCGTATCGGGTAGCTCTGTGCGCTGGTGCCGCGGTCGCGAGATTTATTGACGATCGAGTCGCGCGTGGAATCCGGCGTAACCTTCGCGACCGTCTTTACCGTTTCTCGCCATGCCGTACGTTTATTTTCGACGCGTGACTTCATAACGGAGCTTTAATACTCAATTTTTCCTTTTCTAACAGATACTTGATATGCAACCGAGTATAAATGGTATCATCGATTAATAAACATGTTTATTAATAGCTACCTTCCCGACTGTGAATATTTTGGGATTATAAATTATTTCCTGGAGTCGTAATTTAACTTTAATGTTCCATTTTATTGTGGCTCTCTTTTTATTTATCCATCTATCTATATTCATATGCATGTGCGTTTCTTTGTCTGCGTTCACCCGTTTATATATATATATATAATATTTTTTTTTGTTTTTAAACATAGATTCTTTGATTGAGTTGGGCTGAATATGTTTCGGAAAACTTGCGGTTTTTATTATTCCGACAACGCTATTTGATTACGACGTACATTGGAAGCGTTCGGAGGTCGATTTGTGCAATTGAAAAAAGTAACGCACAGGTCTGGGAACAGACTTGTAAAAAATAATTGACACATATATATTAACTATTAAAGTTACCTAATTATGTCGATCAAGTATTATAATAATGGATATGAGTGGTAGAGTACAAGGTCGCACAGATACAGATCAAGAGTAAAATTTTTTTCCCATAAAGCAATTAATTCAATATTAAATATCTTCTATTAAATAACTCTTCTACAAAATAAATACATTAATACATTGTTTTATAGATTTGATACTTCAATTATAATTATAATTACCAAATAAATATGTTTTTATTAAGTATTTTGACAATAGTTTTTCAATTAATTTTCTTTTACATTTTTTTTGCTCTATTTTCTTTTTTCCTATTATTATTATTATTATTATTTTACGAGAGATTGACAATTTTTTATAATTCTCGAATCGTTGCGTTAAAATTATATGTTATTTGAAATTTTTTTTTTCAATAGCTATATACATGGCAATGAACATAAATCCAAAAAAAATATATCAAATATTCTCTATAATGCATTACTTTATTCTTCATATGTATTAGTCATTAATATTAATGTTTATAATTATAAAAAATACTTTTACCTAAAATACAAAAATGAAAAACGCTACTGAAATTCGTATTCAACTCATAGGGACTTGGAAATTAAAAGTCAAACATTTGTCAATAATTACGCAATATTGTTTTTTTTTTTTTACATAAGATTACTAGGCGAAAAGTTTAGAAAAAATTTACCGGAACATTATTTGAACCGGTCGGATTCAGCAATCGAATAAACGCATTTATATTGTCGACATCCGGTACAGCTAACGATGTACATGAATGGAAAATTATATTTTATTAGAAATTTCTTAACTGGCTAAGTTATTAAGATAGTACATGAGAAATTCCATTGACTTAAATGACCGACGATCAATGTCAATAGAATTCAGAAGAAATAAATATTAGCAAAAGATTAAAAGGGGCATTGAATATCTTGCCATCGTTAAAATTGGTTGGAGTTTATGTGATTGTGAATTTGTTGATTTAATACAGAAGTCATTTCTCTTCAATAATCGGCATTACAAGTAGAAAGCGAGATACGTAAATTCCAAGAAGCGAGGCGCAATGTTCAATTTGTGTATAGCTGTTTATTATTTTTTTAATTAGGTATTTCATTCTTGAGGTGCCATTGCTCTTGCTTGGGCTCGTACTCGTTTCTCATACTCTAAGCGATTTTGACTAAACAATAAAAACGTTTTAATTAATTACTCTTGTATAACCATGTAAAATATTTATAAAGTATACATTTAGTACTACAAACAGTAATGGCTTTGGGATCGACATTTAATAGCAATGCCGACTCAAAATACGAGCTTGTAGCGTAGATGTACAAAGGTATGAGACATTTATTGGAAGAAAAATAAGAAATAAAATGCATAAATACCAATAAATTGTATATGCTTCCGCTTGTGCTGGATCTTTAACATTAGGCTCGTTCAATAGATCTTGAATACCAAGTAGAATTTGTTTAATTGTTATTGCCGGCCTCCAATCTTTTTCTTCATCTAGTAGAGATAAGCATACTGTGCCGGATGGATAAACATTCGGATGAAATAAAGGTGGTTCAAATTTACATTTTGGTGGACTCGATGGATAATCGTCCTTAAAAATCATTCGTAGCTTATATAATCCACCCTCCCAGGGAGTCTAAAAATATTTAAAGTATAATCTAGGGTTTCCATATATAATAAAATCAATCGCTCGTCACGCAGTAAACCTACTCCTTTTTTTCCAGGTATCGCACACTCCCAACTCATCAGATTTAAAGTCCCATCCGGATTTTTTGTCGGGCGAGCAACAAAACCCTAAAATAGAAAGAAAAATTTCTAATTGTATCTAGGGCACGCATTATTTTAAAGTAAACAATTAAATTTTCATTAATGTCGTCCATTGAATATTATTAATTGGTAATTAATCATAATGCTGGATTAATGAACGTTACTCGTGCAAACTTCAACACGCAGTCTACATATGATCGTTACTAAAATGTATTCATCTAGATAAGATAAAGCTTTGTCGTTTGAGGATTATTAGACAAAGGAGAGTGACAAAGATACATACAAATTATCTGAAATATTATCTAGATAAATAAATTTCTCATAATGGAAAAATCCAGAATACGTATTATTAGAAAGTCGACTGGACTAATTAAATCACATAAGCCTTTCGTTTGGCCAAACATATTTACAAGTGGCTGTTATTAACAATTTTGCTTAAAGCCAAACATTGCCAAATAAACTTCATCCGCATATTAACAACGACATTTTAACTATATCGCTTCGGACCGAATAGCAAGGAAAATTTTCGAATTACTAATAAAAAATGGGCCGGCGTTTTGTTTGTCGAATCAATCGTTCAACGAAGTTAATTCTCACACGGGTTCATACTCAACCAAAACTTAACCTCCAAAATTCACAATGGACAATAACAATCGCGCACTTAGCACAGAATTATTATAGCCTCTACTTACGAAGGGATGGTCTTTCCTCCATGCTTTTCGCTCCTCGGCAAGCCTGGCAATCGCAATGCCTGACATTGTTCTGCAATAAAAGCAAATCACATCCTCATTTAACGTCAATAACAAGAACGTCAAAAGCCACTTCAACCATTTAACCCGCGCTTTTTATTATCTACGATATTGTAATTACGAGATATGCATTACCTATTATTATTATTAAGCAACAACAACAACAACAACGGCTTGCAGAGTTGTTAAAGCTGTGTATTAACCTGGGCTTTGATCGCTACGTGCTACTTTCTTTGTCACCCTTTTCACTAAGCGACGTATCGTAGTGCCAAAAGTGTTATTAGTTTAATATATAACAGAAAAAGGTTAAAAACACTTTCACAGAAAACGAGAGCTACGCACTGCTGGTGTATCTAATGACATTAACCATGAATCGGAGGAGAGCTGAGGGAATAATTGTAAAAGGATTATTTATGCCTGGTCGTTAAATGTATGTTTTTTCCGAGCTTAGAGGAAGTCGAAAAAAATTAATCTAGGAAAAAGTCTGGCGTTCGACAAGCCGATGAAAACGTCCACCACGGCGTCTTAATAATAAGTGGATCAACTTCCGGTGAATTTGGTGAGATGATCGGTATGCAGACAACTGTTTTATCGCAAAGATAAGATAATGTACATAACCACAAAGTTTGCGAGGCTTAGGGCGGGGAATGAAGTTCGTAAATGGCCGTTGAGCATCGTTCGAGCGCAAGAAAGAATCTCCGTTTCTAATTATTCGGCTTATTGCGATTTGTCAGTCTGTGTGTGCTGTTCGACTATTCCATTGCTCATCGATAGAACTTTGCAAAATTTTTGACGCGCCAATCTTTTAGCCATTATCTAATCTAAGATATTTGTGAAACATCAGTTGCTTAAATCATCCATTAATTTTAAATACGCTTGCGAATGATAATAATATCAAATATCGACGTTAGCGTCATTATATCATCGTCAAAACGATGATAGAATTAGCAGAGGCTCGCGTATTCGAAATCGACGATTATCTCGATTATCTATCCGATGCTCCGATGCTTTCTACCGGATGGTCAGAATTTCGATGCTTACCAAAACTTCATCTCACGGCCCTCGTCCCCGCCCCGCCCTCGCCGTTATTCATCGTCGTTCGAAATTATTCCGTTAAAAACCGCAAAAAACCGTTAAAAATTGTTTACACGATAATCCAGAGCGTAGCCTCATCGACAATGCTGTTTTGAGCTGACGGTCGCGCGATTCCGGGCGATCCTTTACGCAGCTCGTAGCTTACTTAGTCCATAGCCACCATAATCCTTCGATGCCGCTCATCATTGCAATAACGGCATCCTCGTTCCAATGTCACCATAATGAATATGGCGTTGAAAAAAACAAGGTTGACTTGTTTGGATCTGCGTGGATTCAAATATTGCGCGACTCATCGCTCACGTGCGAACGGCCTTTATTTACACGTTCGGCGTTGCCGCGCCGAAGGCATCCTTGTGGTGTATGTGACGCGCGCGGGCTAGCATGTACGTGCACGGGATAACCCACACTGGGAGAGCGTAACTCCTGGCGGCATTGGAACAAAAAAGTGAAAATCGCGCGAGTCTGTGCTTCGTCTTCTATCTCGTTGTGACAGTGACGGCGGCGGTGGCGGTAGTAATAGCGTTGGTAGCGGTGGTAGTGTTGGTAGTGGCGGGAGCGGCGGCAGCGGTGTAGTGGCGGTGCCAGTGGTGGTCCAAGGGAGACGGACCGATCGAGGAAGAGAGCGAGACGCTCGTAAAGAGTGGGACGGCGATTGGTGGAAGGACGGGTCGAGGAGAGGGACGTTAAGGACAGCGGGTGCTCTCACGCTCCGTTTTCACTCTCGCTTTAAGCTCTCCCAGCCACTCGGTAGTTGGTGGTTCGTTCGTCTGTCGTCGCGACGCGGCGACGCGACGTCCGCTCCCGAGCCACGGTTCCGCGCAAAAGCGTAAGAAGCCTGCTGCGAGGCGTATACGGGCGTACGCGCATAGATGTGTACGCATACGGATACCTCCGGGTCTTTTAGCCGTTTTTCTCCCTCTCCTGGGATAGTCCGGCACTGGGTTCGTCCCCATCGACGGCATCCCCCGTCGCGGCTGCTGCTGGTGTCACC